CCTTAGGGAGCTTGGGATCACGTGCACCCCAGTGGTGGCATGCGGGTGACTTTCTGGGCCAACCGGGGCGAGAACAAAGGCTGGTAGACATGCAGGCCCTTGTCCCGAGAACTGGCAAGACATGTTTTGCTGATTTGGAGCCACCTGTCCAGAGCGAAGACTGCTTAGTTCAGTTCAGAGCACGCTCCTTGGATGGGAGTGACGCGGCCACCCCACACCTCAGCAGCATCCTTAGAATGGTTCACTTTTATCCCCCCCAGGAAGTCCCACTCTCAGCAGGCCTTTAAATTTAGGGTTCGGGCATTTGTTCTTCAGGAACAGCCAGAATAGGAACCCCACCAACAGCTCAGAGGACCCTTGTCTATACACAATTATAGATCTCAGCTTAACAAGCCACGGAGAGAAAGAGAGAGAACATAGGATTATGGAGTGAGACACGTTTGGGTTTTAATCCTGGCTCTGCCACATACCAGCTATGTGATGTGGAGTTAACTTAATCTCCCTCAGCCTCAGTTTCCTTATATGTATCATGTAGGTAACAATAGGACCCTCTCCAAAGAGCTGTGAGAGTCATGAGAAACATGTAAAAAATGAGAAACAAAGGAAATGTTCCTGTAGCAACAGGAGGTTAGCCCACAGCCTATGAGATCCAAAGCCACTAAAAAGAGGAATTTCAAGTTCAAGTGCAACTTGACAGTGGTAACTTCATTCCTCCACGTCTACGACCCAGGACTCCCTCCTTCCTGTAAGAGCCACACCATGCCCATGTCTGCCGAATCATACAATCCCACAGCTCGTACCATTTCCTCTGGAATGGGGACAGCCAAATATTAACCTCCGCATTTATTAGCGGCCTAATCTCGGGTAAATATGCTTCAGTTCTGTGCTTCGATTTGTGAGTCACCTGTGAGACAGAGGTAACCACGCTTCTCTCTCCATCCCACAAGGCTGCCGTGAGAGGGGACAGCACACGCCATCCGCAAAACTCTACGCAAAAAGTAAGTTCTCCCCCTCCTCTTCCTCCTCCTCCACTGGCAGGATCTACATGTTCGGAGTGGAGATCAGAGCACGGAGAGGCCCTCAGCCCTGGTAGCCTATTGATATGGGGACTGGGAGGCTGGAAATTAAATGAGCCGTGTAAACATCAGGAAGACCAATGAGCATTTCACAGGCCACAAAGACAGGCAGCCCGAGCAATTGCTGTTTGCAAATCCACACTAATTGGTCATTACAGAGAGAAATATGCCAGTCCACCGCACATTTCCCTCAGTTCGTTTTTAATCTTGCACCAATCCCCACAAACTTCCTGTTCCCTGTCACTCCATTCTCCAGCACCAACAGATATAATAAGGGGGCCACAGCAGCATTTCTGAGCAATGTCATTTCCAGCAGTTGTACAAAGTGATTTCTCAGAGCCATGCCGGGGGGCCATCACGTGTGTCTGCTGAGAGTCCTGTCTGACACGCTGCTGAATGCAACTGCGGAACACAGCACGAGTCCATTTCTCTCCTGTTCCTCCTCCTTTTCTAACATCGTCTACTGGATGCATCCCTTTCCTAGCACTTCTGTCATGGAAAGACACTCACCTGCCCCAGGGCCACTCTTGGGATGTGGCCTGGTGCAGACGGGGCTGCCTTATTTATGCCACCGAAGGGTCACTGGTAGGCAAACACATAGCTGCCCACCCAAGCCCCAAGGCTCAGCCAGGCCTTGGGAATGTGGTGACCCTCAACAGTGACAAAGAAACCCCTTGCCATTGGCTTTATTATTCTTAGGGACCCAGCTCTGAGTTTGTTGTGGATCAGTCGTTTAGCAAATATTTTCAGAAGCCAAGCACCACACCACTGGGGATACAAAGGTGACGAAAAACAAACATGACCGTGGTTTGGGACCTTGCAGTACAGAGGAGGGACAGACGTTTATCAGCTCATCACACGAAGGCACGAGAGCTTACACGCTGGTGAGCTTACTGAAGACGTGTATGTGATCTTAGGAGAACATATAACAGAAGGAATCCCTAGGAGATGATCAAGGCAAGGGGAGGTTTCCCTGAGTAAATATAACGTTAACAACGACAACGACAAAAAAAACGTGGAATTACTTAGCAATGGGGGATAGGAAGGAGATCGGGGGACAGAGCTGAAAAGAGAGAAAAAATAACCTGTGCAGAGGCCCCTGACGGGAAGGAGGGAGCAGAGCGAATCAGGACTGGAGAGCGAGAGGCGAGTGGCACAAGGCAGAGGTTGCAGCGGCCAGAGCGTGCAGGGAGATGAGAGTCTGCTACGCACTGTGGCTTCTATCTTCAGAGCAGCAGGGAACCGGCGAAGCCTTTATACAGAGGAAAAGGGGTGGCAGGACTGGGCTTGTTTCTTGGAAAGCTGACTCTTGCTAAAGACCGAGAATAGATTTGGGGGAGGAGAGGTGAGCAGAGCAGATGGGAAGAGACTAGTCCGGGAAATAAATGCCGCTGTGCCAGGAAAGATCACAAAAGCTTGAACTAGGTGCAGGGGAGGAGAAGCCAAGCCAGGGCGCGGCGCAGTTAGACCCAGGCTAAGGGAAAGGGACGCGTCAAAGACAAACAAACTCCTCGCAGTTGTGTATCAGTGACTAAGTAGATGGTAGTGCCACAGCCAGTGGGGGGATCAGGCAGGGAGGAGTGGGCCAGGTCATGGTTTTGGGTTTGTTGAGCTGGATTTTGTACAAATTATTACTGCTGTCACCATATGGAAAAATCACGTTTAATAAAATGGTTTCATGCTTGCTGTCCTACTGGATTCTGAAAACAGTCTCATGGGATCAAGGGACATACGCACAAGAAGTGACTGATTGGCAGGGAAATAAAATGCAGATGTTAGGGACCTGCGGAGTCGGCGGTAGTAGAGGTTTGGTTAGAGGACAAGCCTCAGAAGACAATATCCTTTTGAACACATCAGATAGCATTCTTTAAAAATTATTATTTTTTAAGCCCTGGAGGTTTCATTTCAAATGGATAAAAATCCAGTATGTAAAATCATGGACAACTGGTCTACCTGCATTAAAGTGGGCGTGAGAAATCAGAGCACCAGTGTTTCCCCTCCTTCTCCCCTTTCATCCGAGACCCCACGGAAGCCCTGGGGCTCCCGGGAGCAGATTCCAGCCTTGGGTGCCTCACTCCTTCAACTTCCCAACTCCCAGTGGATTTCACGACAGGCGACACCACCGAGGGCGTTTTGCGCCATTCTGGCCCTGGCTGCAAATCGGAGTGAAGCACTTTCAAGACCTTGCCATGTTGCGGAAGCTGGGTGATCTCATTCCGCCCTGTCCTTGGTGGCTGTCCCCACCCATCTGACAGGCGAGAGTGCCAAGGCTCAGAACCTGTTAGCTCGTGCTTCAGTGGTTAACCAGGATCTGAACTTTTTTTTTTTTTTTTTTAACCACTTTGTGTTTTCTTAACAGCAGAAGTTGCAGGCCTGCACGGGACATGGCACAGGCCGTCAAGAGAAGGCGCGCAGTGGACGCAGAGGTAGAGGCTGCGCCAGCTGCCACTCCTCCTTCCCTGCTGCTTTCTCCCCACCGTGTCGCCGAGAAGACCCTGGGAGCCGGAGCGGCTTGCTTTCACCTTAATTAGCGCAGCAATTTGCTAAATTTTGTTTTTCCCTTTTTAAGAGTGTTAATCAATTTTAGCTCAGAATAGATTGGAATGGCACGCAAATTAGCACGACAATCCCCAAATGCTAAATTCTGAACATCTCGATCAACCTCGGAGCCTGAAATACGTGAAAAATCACAAACTCTGGCCCGCATCTCAGTGATCTACTTAAAATGTTATGGCTCTAAAATGAAAAGATAATGGCCTTGTGAGGTTTGGAACAAGCAATTTGCCAGAATCGGCCTCGCGCCTAGGTGTTTAGTCCTTCCCAAGGTGATGGGAGACAGAGCAGCAACATATTTCTGCAAAAGTTACATACTCCTCTAATACCCATTTGTTAAATCCACAAGCATGATAAGGTACTTGCTATGCACCAGAAACACATAAAAGAATAATAAATGTTTCTTCTCTCCCTACCTTATTATAAAGGGGCCAGGTGCTATACAAGTGAATAGAGAATTCTTTCCTTTTTCCTGGAGAAGTCAGGGAAGTTTCTAAGAGGAGGGAAAGTGAAGCTGAGTCCTGAAGGATGAGTAGGGGTTGTGACAAGATAGGGGGGAAGGGCATGTCAGGTGGAAGGAACAGCATAAGCTAAGCCTCAAGCATGGAAGGGAGGGCAAAGGGAATGAGGGGTGCTGTCTACCACTTAAAATAATAGGGGAAATTTGCAGGAATGATAAGTGATGACACTACAAGTAGAATTGAGAGGCAGAATATATGAGACTTCTTAATCAGACTGTGATTCTCAATCAGCATGCAGATGAAGTGGCACTACTGAAAAATCTTAAGCGAGGGAGATGACCACATGGGTTTCATCTGGTTGAAGCCCTCCAACCCAACATAACCCTTCATGTTTATTCAGCATAGTCTTTTAAAGTGCATTCGCATATCTTTCTCTCATTTGAGCCTCTTCATGACCCCACAAGGTTGGTATTAATTATAATCACCTTTCTACCCATGAGAAAGCAGGTCCAGCATAGGCGGGTGATTGACTTTGTGCCTTATGACTAGTAAATAACAATACACAAATCCAAACCCAAGTTCATCATTTACCTCTCTGGGAGATAGATTGGTCTAGATATGAGCCATCACAGACCATTTTCAGATTATATATGAGGCCAATAGACTCCAATAGCTTCTACGGAAAGTGTTGGTGGCCAGAATTGCATGGATCGATGTGGATTCTATGCCAATGGAATGGTTAAATTATGCTTTTGATGATAAAATCAGATTCAGGTGGCAAACAACCTCAGTTACACCCCGGACACCTTCAGTTAGGAGCTGAGATTTCTGTCATTACTACAGTCTACTGAACCACAAGTGAGAAAAGCTTCCAGCGAGAGGAGACCAGCGAGGCGCCCCTGCCCTGTACCTTGAGCTCGTCCGCGTTGTAGAAGTCCACGCGCACGGCGGGCACCATCCAGGTCTGGAAGAGCGTGGCCAGGATCTGCTCCGCGATGGAGTCGGCGATGAGGTGGAAGTGCAGAGGGTTCCGCCTGTGGGGATGAATGGAGGAAGAGTCAGAGGCAGAGTTAGGGCTTGTGACTCCAGCTGCAAACACACTGCCCCCAGCCCCTACGGCGGGGCTGGTCTCTAACAGGAACTGTAGGAGTAAATCAGGCATGCCACCCAACAAGCGCTACAGGTGAGGATGTCGGAGCTGGAACGCAGAGGTGACATCTCACCCAACCTCAGCATTTCAGCAAGGTGACAGGCACCAGAGAGGGGGAAATCACTGGTGACACCCAATTCAAGCCAACTACCATACCTGTTATCAGGATACCTGTGTTTCTGACTCTTAGGTGAAGCACGTGTAACCATTTAGCCCACCCTTTACATCTGCCACCTACACATATTGGCATTAACGCAGAAAAGACGTTGTCAGAGGGCAAAGTCCTTTGTAACAGACTGGCTGCAGGCAGTTGGCAAGATACTTCTTCCATGGCACCTCAGTTCTGTGTTCTGCTTGTTCCTCTCCAAGATAAAACCAGAGATGGAGTTTCTTCTGGAGCTCCCCTCACTGGCTATCAGCTTGTCCCTGCTTTCATTATACCTACAGCTTTTAGTCATTCAGCCACAGTCAACCAGCCCTCACTGAGGCAGCACCCAAAATACACAAGAGCGTGACACAAGGACAAAGCTCCTGGAATCAAGTGGAAATGGGTTCGAAACCCACTCCTGACACTGATTTGTGGGAACCCTGAACATACCCTTTACGCTCCGCACTGGTGTTTCTTAATTTGTAAAACGTGTAGAACAACCTTCTCCAAAGGCTGCTGTGTCGATTAAATAAGATAGTAAGTGCAACATTTGACATATCACAAATAAACGTAGGAGGATAACACATGGCAGATATGCCTCACTGAGGAACTGCAGGCACAAGGCAACAGGCCCGTCAAGGAGAACTAGCGTCACAACTACCACTGTGCTACCAAAACTAACATGAACTGCGATGCCACGAACGAGCACCTAGTAGAAATGGCCTGGCCCGCCTGACCTCAAGGAGCTCACGCTGTTCAGAGAGACAGACAAATCGCAGTTAAACACAAACAGGAGACAGACTGTGATGACTACAAAAGAACACGACGTTCTGCGGGAGTAAAGAAAAAGCAGGGCTGACTCTCTGATGGGGTCAGAAGGATGTGGAAGAGAAGAGAAGAGGGAAGCGGTGCCCTAAAGGATAAGCACGGCTTGGACAGGGGGAGGAGGAAGAGAGGACGGGGGCATAATCTGCGATCCAGGAGAGTAGCGGGGACCAGGGGACCAGGAGTGTGGCAGGGACCTATGTCCCTAGGGAGCGAGGTGCTTAGCAGGGACTCCGGGGCTGCAGCAGAGCAGGAGCGAGATGAGCGTGCACAGTGGGCAGCGCAGTGAACGTCTATTCAACAGCATGGAGCTGAGCCAGGCGTGGGCGGCGCAGGACCTGACTCTCAGCCCTGGCCTCCCGCGCAGTGGCTCCCCAGCCCTGTCCCATGTTCCAGACACGCTGACCGTCTCTCAGTCTCCCACGGCCCCTCCTGTACTCTCTCTCTCCAACCCCGGCCTTTGCATATGTGGTCTATTCTGCAGCAAACCCTCTCGCAGTTGCCCATTCAATACAGCCTTACTGCGCACACCTGTCTGCCAGGTGATGAGCTGGATGCTGGGGACACAGTGGGGGAGGAGACACAGCCACACCATCCCTGCTGTCTCGGAGCCCAGTCTTGACACCCCCTTCTTTCACCTTCCCTGTGCAGCCTTTGGTTATCTCTCAGCCTGCTTTAGGGCTGACATCATTTGCTCCTAGAACCCTTTCCCAACTGGGTTATCTCAGCACTACGTATCCATCTACCCATCCTTACTTGACTGAGCTCAGTGAGACCAAGGGTCATGTCAGGTGTGTTCAAACAGATAGCCCCATGGTCCACACCCCAGGGCCTGGGATGCAGTAGGAGTTTAATAAGTGAACTTGATGGAGAGATGGGTTGGTGGATTGTGGACAGGTAAGGGGCACAGATGTGGACATGTAATACGGATCTGATTAAGACAGGGCCCAAGGAAGAGCAACAAGAAAGTTGAATCTAGAAGGACTGCAGAAGAGCAGATCTGAGATATGGGAAAAAGGGAGAGGGAGAAGCAGAAGGTGACGCTGAGGTTCCTGGGTTGGTGGCAATGTCTCCAGGACAGGGCATATGACACGAAAGGCATATTGGAGGGAGATGATGAGTTTGGAATGGGGCATATCAGGTTTAAGGTTGGGGTGGCAGAGCCAGTGGTGCTGCTGGATGAATGAGCCTGGCAAATACTGGGTACCCAGTAAAGACTGTGACAGAAAAAGAAAGCCAACACGCCCCCTTCTATCACACCGTGATCACCGGCAGAAGGTGGCAAGACAGCTGACGATGTACTCCGCATGAACAGTTCAGAGTCCGGGCTCTGCTCTACAAGGTCCAGGCTGGAACCCTGGCTGCAGTGACCTTCAGTAAGTTCCTTCATCTCCCCAGGACTCAATTTCCTCAGCTTCAAAACAGGAACAATAGTGGAAAGCAATACTGCCTGGGGTAATTGTGAGGATAAAGTGAGATGACACACATAAAGTGTTTAGGAAAGTATTAAGGTCATTAAATGTGAAATGTTCGATTTCAAATCCAAAGTGCAGGTTATATCTCAAACAAGAAGCAGGACAATTAATCAAAGTGTGCACCTAGACTTTTGGCACAGTTGAGCGCTGTCTTGCAAGAGGACTGGCCTGTCTCTGTTGACCGAGCTTAGCTGCTTAATCGCCAGTATCCTCATCATTTCATCCAACTGTTTGCAGTAGACATCCACTGTAATCGAATGACCAGGTTTCATGAAGCTGTAGTGGATAATACCAGTGCTGGACGCCCAAACAGACACCATCAGCTTTTTTTCATGATTATTCAGTTTTGGGCTATGTTTCCGCACTTCATCCTTATCCAGCCATTGTGCCAAATGCTTGTGATTGTCAAAAAGGATCCATTTTTCATCACACGTAACAATATGGTATAGAAACGGTTCACCTTTATGTCATGACGGCAAAGAAATGGAAGCTTCCAGACGATTTCTCTTCCGACACTTGTTTAATTCATGTGGAACCATCTGTCCAGCTTCTTTACCTTGCCCATTTGTTTCAAAAGGTCCAACACTGTTGGAATAGTAATGCCAAACCTTGCTGCTAATTCGTGTATACGTTGAGATGGATTCACTTCCACTACAGCTCTCAGCTCATCATTATCCACCTTGTCCTCAGGTTGCCCACATGGTACGTAGTCAAATTTCCATAAATGCTAACTACTACCAATATTAACTTATGAGACTATCTTCTCTACTATTTTTGCATCAAGTTTCCAATAAAGTATTTCTAATTAGTATCTCCACCCATAGGAAAAAAAAAAGGGTTGAATGAATAAAAGTCCAACAAAGAGTTCTTAAGCAGTAACTACACCTAAGGCTCAACGGAGACACAGGTGACGAATGAGCTAAGGGTGCTTTCTTCAGGCACCTTACAGTCTGGCAGAGGTTAAAAAAAAATCACCCACATATTAGAACATGGGTGTGCCACTAGGCTGGGCTGCCACACACAGCTGCAGAGCTTGGGAACAGCTCACCTCCCATGGAGCCATCTGCACAGACTGACTTAAACAGAAATGTGCAGAACCTGCACAACCATACAGGATGACTCCACAAGGAGAAGCACAAAAGCTACGGAAGTGTGAGGGCAAAAGGGATTGCTTCTTGGTAGTGGAGAGTCTAGCAAGTGTCCATGATTCGTTCTCTAAGAGAAAAGGGCCAGGCAAGGTTTGGAGGCTCAGCAGGCAGCAGATCCAAGTCGCAACTCCGGGAAGTTACAACCTGTTTGCAGAGCAGTAGTTAGAGCAGCGTGGGGTAAGAGGAACAGGCTCTTAGAGGAAAATGCTGCAAACGTTCAGATGGGGCTTCCTTCTCCCAGGTTCCTCTTCCTCGGGGCTATTTAAAGCATCTCTCCAGAAGGGAGAGGAAATGCAGAAAGAAACCTGACCTCATCTTTGGGGTGATAGTGGGTGCCCGCACTCTCAAAGGGGTTGGCATGCCTCATGAGCTTACCTCGGATGTATAGCGCCCTAGCACAGGTGACCACTGAGACCTGGCATTTGAGAACACTGTCTCAGCATTCAAAGGCAGGGAAACCAGCAGCAGCTGGTATACGTGCTCAGAGGGGTTCCACTAACGTCCCATTTTGGGTACCATCGTGAGAATCTGGGACCATCACGAGAACGTAGTTCCTGTCGAGGCCTCTTCCTTTTCGATCCACCACGCCACGGGAAAAGCACCTAAAAACACTGCGCAAATGCCTTCTCTCAGATCCTCTGTGTATGCCGGAATGTTTCCCCTGGGCTTTAACTTGTAAATCTGGCTGCCAACCAGATGGTCCCACTTTCATATCCCACAGGTCCCTGGGAATCAAGGAGGCCCCAATTACAATGCTCCCGACACACACGTTTCTAATTATTTCTGGAGTGTTTGTTTAATACCTGTCTCTCCTCTACAATGTAAGCTCCACAGGGACAGAGACTGGTCTGCCATTCACTGCTGTGTCCCAGCCCCCAAAGCACAGCCCGACACAGTAAGCACAGGCTCCAATTTATTCTAAATGACTGCATTGAGGAAAGCCTCAATTAATTTTTAAAACAGGAATCATTTTGCCCTCTCTTGGCCCCTAACATGTTCTTCCTTCTGAATTTCATGCCTGGGTTAAAGGTGCACCATCCACCCAGCCTCACAAGCTAGGAACGGGGGCACACCTGGGCTCCTTCCCCTCCCGTGTGCCATACTTCCACTCAACTGCAGGTGCCAAGAGGCAGCTCCGTCTAATGGTTAGGACCCAGGTTCCAGAAGTAAAACTGCCTGGCTCCTTATCTTGGTTCTGTCACAAGCTAATGTTGGACCCCGGGCAAGCTTCTTCACCTCTGAGTCTCAGTTTCCAAATCTTTGAAATGGGCTTGATAATAATAGCTCC